TCTAAAAAATAGAGATTTTTTAAACTTTTTTTTTTTACATAGCACTATACTTGATAAATTACAAATGATACCTTACCACAATGAATTTTCATACTAGTGATAGTCCTGGGCTTGCATCTTGATGGTTTAGTTTCACTGTGCAGCAAAATAAGGTTCTGCTAAAATAGAGGCTGTGTACACACTTGAGTAGAAAGTCCTTTCACACTTGCAATGCAGAGATGCCCCTTATCTCTACTTACTCCTCTCTGGTATTGAGTGCCTATATTGTAGGGCCTAGAAGTCAAAGGGACTGGGAGGGCAGCAGAGCATCATAGAAACTGGAGATCAATGTAGATTGCTAATAATTTGGAAATTGGCTTTATTATATCTAGATGTAATTTTTTCTTTTTATTTTTTTCTGAGTGGAATAAACTATAACACATAGGTTTTGCAGTGCAGGTTTCCAGAGTATTATTAATTAAAAACAAGAGAGTATACTCCTTGATATTTGTCCTAAAAAATTAAAGTCATTATACAATAGAGGTACATACATACTCATGTTTATAGCAGTATGGTTCATAAGAGTCAAATTATGGAACCAACTTAGATGTCCTAGATAATGGATGAATGGATTTAAAATATTGTAAATACACACACACACACACACAAATGGAGTTTTATTTTGTCATAAAGAAGAATGAAATTGGGTTAGGACTGTGGCTCAGTGGTGGAGTGTTTGCCTACCATGCATGAGGCACTGGGTTTGATCCCCGGTACCACATAAAAATAAACAAATAAAATAAAGGTATTGTGTCCATCAACAACGACAAAATTATTTTTTAAAAAATGAAAAAGAATGAAATTATGTCATTTGCAGGAAAATGGATGGAATGGATAGAACTTGAGAGCATTATGCAAAGTATGTAATAAGCCAAACTCAGAAAGCCAAGAACTGTATGTTTTCTCTCATATGTGGAAAAGAGAAAGGAAAAAAGGAAAAGAAAAGGGAGTTGTGTCTCATGAAAATCAAAAGGAGATCAGTAGAGCAGAATAAAGGGACCAGGGGAAGAAGCAAAGGAGGGAAAGGGGAAATAGTGAAAAAAAATATTGATCAAGTTATATTATTATATCATGTGCACATACAAATATGTAACAACAAATTCCATTATTATGTATAATTATGATGTGCCAATAAAAAAACATGGAATAAAATAGGAGAGTGTGTTAAGAATAACATACTCCTTGCACTCTTAACAATGTATTGGAAGTTTGGTGACATGGAACCAGAGCATGTGAAGAGCAGATTCCTTCCCTGGAAGACCTGTAAGATTTAGTTGAATTCTTTGAAGTAGGCCTGAGGTCTCTATGCATCAGGTGCTTTAACAGGTATCTCATGTTCATTACCTTATCTACTTCTTGATTATCTTGTCAGGCAAGTATTATTATTTTCCTTCTAAATGGTTAGAGAGGTTGACTAGGTAAATTTCCCAGAGTCACACAATAAGTCAGTGTTGCAGGTAGAATTCAAAGCCAGAGATGACTAACTAAAAAAATGTCCCACTTCTATGAATGCATACTATGTAACCTACTGTATGACCTTCTTCCTAGGCCCAAATCACTGTGCCCTGGGAAATACAGTATATTGTAGAAGTATTCACTTTTGAACTTTTAGTCCAAAAACACTTTTAGTGTTTTCTTTTGAATTTTAAATTTATGTTGATTTTTTATCCCTTAATAAAGGTAATAGAGCTTTATTTCAATTCAATTAGAAGTAGTAACAAAAAATAATAATGGGCCAGGCATGATGGTGCACTCCTGTAATCCCAGAAGATTGGGAGTCTGAGGCAGAAGGATTGTGAGTTCAAAGACAGTCTCAGTAATTTAGTGATGCCCTAATCAACTTAGCGAGACCCTGTCTCAAAATAAAATATAAAAAAGGGCTAGGGATGTGGCTTAGTGAAGTGCTTCTGAGTTCAATCCCTGGTACCAATAAAAATGGTTTTAATAAT